TCTCTGTGCCTCTCACTGGCCTGGATCATCCTGTCGCTCATTCTTCTGTCCGTGGATGGCCTTCTCCAGTACTCGGCGGTGGAGCTCTTCAACCTCCGCTTTCACTACTCCGGATCTCCACCACCAGCTCTGTGCCTCTTCCCCGACATCACCTTCCAGCCTCGCTGTCGGTATATCAATCGGGGGTCCCGGCGGAACCTCCATCTCGACGGCTCCAAAGGAATACCCTCCTTCTGGTCCACGACTAGCCGGCGGCTACCCAGGAATACCTGCCGAGCTGCCGACTCCAGCGTGTTAGCCCGGCTGGCTAGTCGGGCTAATGCTCCTGTCGCCAGGGACTTCCGCACTGCTAATTTTGGTCTTCTCAACATTCGCTCCCTCTCTGGTAAAGGACATCTCCTCCAAGACACCATCAGTGACCATAAGCTAGACTTTCTTTGTCTGAACGAAACATGGCAACAATCCAGCGATTTCTCACAACTCAATGACTGCACTCCTCCCGGATTTGTTTACCTCTCCAAATCCTGTGGGTCGGGCCGCGGCGATGGTCTCGCGATACTCTTATCGCGAGACTTAGAAGGTCCTTCCCGTAAGCCTTCCTCCTCTCACCACTCTGGAATGCCTCGCCTGTCAACTCTCCGGCCCTACCCCCACAATAATTGTCACTGTTTATCGTCCCCCCAAGTTCAGCCCTGAGTTTTTAAATGAACTCTCTGCTCTTTTATCCCATCTGTCCGCCCTTTCCCCAAATGTAATTTTACTTGGTGATTTTAATATTCATATGGACAATATGGCCCTCCCCCTCAGCAAAGACTTCTCCTCATCTTTGGACAGCCTCAGTTTTCATCAATATGCCAATTTTCCCACTCACATTAAAGGTCATACCCTGGATTTAATCTGCTGCTCCGGCCTGACCCCCTCCAACTGTACAGCTGACCTGCTCCCTTTCACGGACCACTTCCTCATCTCCTTTTCTGTTCCCCTCCGTCTCTCCATCATCAAGTCACCACGTATCATTTCTTTTCGTAATATTAAGGACATTGATCTAGCCTCCCTGTCCTCCAGTTTTGCCACCTTGACCCCTAATTTGTCCTCTACCCCCGATGATCTTGTCATTCAGTACAATAACGCTCTGGTTTCTATCCTTAATTCATTTGCTCCCATCATATCCCGCTCTGTATATTTTACTCGGTCTGCTCCATGGTTCACCCCTGCCCTACGCTCCTTGAAAGCTACCAACCGGAGGCTTGAAAGACTCTACAAGAAAACCGGTCTCACCATCCATAAAGACTTATATTCTGCTCAGATTTCTCTCTACAAGGACTCCATCTCCCATGCCAAATCTCAGTATTACTCCGGTCTCATCTCGTCCAACTCCAGCAACACTAAAACATTATTTTCCATCATGAACAGCATTTTTCAGCCTCCCGACTCCTTACCCATCCACCTTTACTCTTCAGAAACCTGTAACTCTCTCCTTCAGTTTTTTAATGATAAGGTCAATAGAATCCATCTCTCTTTACCTCATTCCTCCCCTCCCTCTCCTGATTTATTTGAACCCACCATTCAGTTCTCCTCCTTTGAACTTCCCCATCCCTCAGAACTAGTAGATTACATCACCAAATCCAAACCTTCCACCTGTCAACTGGACCCTATTCCAACTGTTTTAGTTAAATCGTGCCTTTCTTCTCTGCTCCCTTTTATAACAGCCATTATTCATTCCTCACTATCCTCTGGTACGGTCCCATCCCTATTCAAATCCGCTTCAGTCAGCCCTATTCTAAAAAAAACTGGTTTAGATCCCAATGATTTCAATAACCTCCGTCCCATTTCCCATCTTCCCTTCATTTCCAAAGTCCTTGAGAAAACTGTTGCATCTCAGCTCCATTCACATCTCACCCGCAATAACCTTTATGAACAGTTTCAGTCTGGCTTCCGTCCCCACCACAGCACAGAAACAGCTCTCATCAAGATCACTAACGACCTACTCATTGCTGCTGATTCTGGTTTAATCTCTATTCTTATTCTCCTCGATCTGAGTGCGGCCTTTGACACCATTTCTCATCCCATCCGCCTTAATAGACTCTCTTCCTTAGGCATCACTCACACCCCCCTCCACTGGTTTCAATCTTACCTTACTGGCCGCACTCAGTTCATCCAGTTAAAATCCTTTACCTCAGAACCCTCCCCAGTCAAGTCAGGTGTGCCCCATGGCTCTGTCCTGGGGCCCCTCCTCTTCATAGTATATCTCCTCCCTATCGGCAAAATCTTCCGCAAATTTAATATCCAGTTTCACTGCTTTGCAGATGACACCCAGCTCTACATTTCCAGTAAGCCCAACTCAACTCTCCCACCATCCTCCCTTACACTCTGCCTCTCTGAAATCAAATCATGGTTCACCTCTAATTTCCTCAAACTCAACGGCAATAAAACTGAACTTCTTCTAGTTGGCACTAACTCCACCCTCTCAACATCTGACAGCTTTTCTTTTAACTACTGACAGCGCCATAGTCTCCCCCTCACCTCACGTCAAGAGTCTGGGTGTCATTCTCAACAGCTCACTTTCTTTTCAGGCTCACATTAATAACTTAATTCGGTCAGCATACTTCCATCTACGTTCCATAAACCGTCTCCGTCCCTCACTGACCCCTCACACTGCCGCCATTCTCGTCCACAGCCTCGTCACCTCCCGTATCGACTATTGCAATTCACTTCTTTATGGTCTCCCCAACAAACTCCTTCATAAACTGCAACTGGTCCAGAATTCAGCAGCCCGTATTATCACCAAAACCCCTTCCTTTCACCACATCACGCCGGTTCTCCAGCAGCTTCACTGGCTCCCAGTTAAATTCAGGTCCATCTTCAAAATTCTCCTTCATACCTTCAAAGCAATCCACAACCTCTCTCCTCCATATATCTCAGACCTTATAAGTATTCACACCCCATCCCGTTCACTCAGATCTTCTTCTTCCATCCATCTTGCGGTTCCTTCTGCCCGTCTCGCTACCATGGGGAGCAGAGCTTTCAGCCGCTCTGCTCCTCGACTCTGGAACTCACTTCCCCCAGACATCAGGAACGTCGACAGTTTTACCCTTTTCAAAACAAAACTCAAAACACATATGTTTAAATCTGCCTACAACCTCAGATTTTATTGAACTGTTTCTCTCTTTGTTTTTTCTTCTTTGGGTTTTATTATTGTTTTATTGTATTTTATTACGTGTTTTGTGTAAAGTGACCTTGGGTGTCCTGAAAGGCGCTTTTAAATAAAATGTATTATTATTATTATTATTATTATAAGTCGATAAACAAAAAGCGTTTTTTGTTTCATATGCACAGGTTTAACAACTTTTAACAACTATCAATGGCGGCTGAACTTTAAATGCACAAAAATAAGCCATGAATACAGTTTCCACTATCAAAGTAGTCACACTTTGTTGATCCAAACACTGCTGATCTCTCAACACAAATGATGGGCAGATTAAACAGTTCATTTCGATGCTTCTCCCACACAAAGGGTGTTTGGATCTAACTTCCGCGTTTATTGCTCGGACTGTATCGCAAGATCTCGAAAATCCCGCGCATGCCCATTTGCGCACCTCAGGTCTCCGCACCGGAGCGGAGCCATTGTAGAGCGGGTACCAGTAAAAATTGAGTTCGGAAGCGAGCAGCTGCGGAAGGCGGGGCAGAGCGGAGCGGAGGTAGTGGAATCTTTCGGTAAGAAGATCACCAATGTAAGATGGTGCTTGTCCATGTAAGGCCCTATAGACCAGAACCAGGATCTTGAAATGAACCCTGAAGTTGACTGGCAGCCAGTGAAGCTGGAGGAGAAGCGGGGTGATGTGGGTGTGTTTGGAGGACTTGGTCAGAAGCCGAGCACAGGCATTCTGAACCACCTGTAGACGTTCAGGGAGGTTCTGCTCAGACACGTGAAAAGAGAGTTGCGGTAGTCTAAGCGTGAGGAGATGAAGGTGTGGACAACTGTCTCAAGTTCAGAGCAGGACAGAATGGGACTCAGCTTAGCAATGTTCCTGAGATGGAAGAAGGAAGAGCGAACAAAAGAACTGACATGAGAATCCAGGGTGAGAGCTGGGTCAAAGGTCACGCCAAGATTCCTGACAGAGGGTTTGGTGTGAGAAGCAAGCTGACCAAGAGAGTCTCTGACTTTGGGAACCAGCTTGTCTGGGGCACAGATGAGGATCTCAGTCTTATCTTCATTCAGCTGTAGAAAGCTCCCACCATCCAGGTTTTGATAGAGTCTAAGTAGGTGTGAAACAGCTGCAGCTTAGACATCTCATGGGGCTTAAAGGAGATGTACAGTTGGATGTCATCTGCATAAAGATGGTAGGAGATTCCTTTAAAGGAGCTCAGGATGTGCTGAAGAGGAAGCAGATAGAGGAGGAAGAGCAGAGGCCCCAGCACAGAACATTGTGGGACACCTTGGGTGAGGGAGGTGGTGGAGGACCAAAACTTGGAGATGGCCACTGAGAATGCCCAGACAGTGTAACAAAGATTGTAACAGTGAATGTTTCACTTTGATTTATTTTCAAAACCTAAAATGTTTGAACCGTTTTATCAAAAATGCACTTGTTCTATTTATTGACTTATGAATCTCACTTGATCCCATCATAATCCTGACTAATGCTCTGTGGCCTAAAGGCACCACAGAGGATTAGTCAGGATTATCTCAAGGAGCTGCTGTTGGAGTCAAATGAACTTTTTTTTCTATTACTAACTTAAATGAAAGTAGTTGCCCCTTTGCACGGATAATGTTTAAAGCTTAAGCATTCATTTCAGTTTTGTGATGTTAGCATTTTCTTTGTTACGGGAAACCCGCATCGGAAACGAAAGTTAGACAAGATCAGATACATTCTTTTCTTAGTTTGTGGTGGAACCTGAACTAGCTGAAGGGATCAAAAGCAGTGCCAAAACTAATTAGTGACAGGATTCGTCTAAAGTTCAAACTGAAAGATATCTATTGTGAATACTGTGTTCATACGCACCCTCTCTCGTCACTTAGGTCTCCACAGTCATTGTGGCCATCACAGCGATGGAGGTAGAGAATACACTGTCCTCTTGGACACAGGAATTCCCCTTCATTACACACCACACCGCAATCTAGGTCCACCAACACAGATCAATCATCAGTGTGTTAGAGCAAGCATGTGTAATCATTGAAACCACACGAGCACTATGGTGGAAGCAGGTAAAACAACATTATGGGACTTTAAGTGAAGACAAGTCCATCCAAGTGCATGCTTACCTTTCTCATCAGACCCATCAGCAAAACCACAGTCCAGCTGTCCATCACACACACGACTGGCTGCTACACACTTTCCATTGACACACTGGAACTCTCCAGCAGGGCACAGAGGAAGACCACAGAAGTCCTCGTCTGACTGGTCGTCACAGTCTGGGTGGCCATCACAACGCAGAGCCAGGTTCAAACACGCTCCACTGAAAAGTCGGGTTTTACTCACAGTTAGCTCATCAGTTAACAGTTCAAAATAGAACATAACCACTTACTTAGCTGCCTGGAGTGTGACAGGTTTTGTTACCAATCCTTTCACCTTTACTGGTCAGCTGGTGTATAACTCCCATAACCATACATCTCTATTTAGAGCTGGCACAACGCTGCATCACTGCAGACGCAGCCCCAATCCCCCTGTCCATCCTACCCTCCAGCTTCCCCTCACTGCTGAACAAGACCATAAGATACTTAAGGTCCTCCACATGAGGTTGGACCTCATCCCTGACCTGGAGAAGGCCTTCTAGCCTTTTCTGAGTCATGACCATGGTCTCAGATTTAGAGGAGCTGTGAGTTTGGTCCGCATAGCCGGTAGTAAGTCGGACCTGTTCCCAGTGAGGGTTGGACTCCGCCAGGGCTGCCCTTTGTCACCGGTTCTGTTCATCACTTTTATGGACAGAATTTCTAGACGCAGCCGTGGTGTGGAGTGTGTCGAGTTTGGTGGCAGGAGAATCTCGTCTCTGCTTTTTGCGGATGATGTGGTCCTCCTAGCTTCATCCAGCTCTGACCTTCAGCTCTTGCTGGGTAGGTTCGCGGTCGAATGTGAAGCGGCTGGGATGAGGATCAGCACCTCCAAATCTGAGACCATGGTTCTCGACCGGAAAAGGGTGGCTTGCCACCTCCGGGTCGGGGGAGAGGTCCTACCTCAAGTGGAGGAGTTTAAGTATCTCGGGGTCTTGTTCACGAGTGAGGGTAGGAGGGATCGGGAGATCGACAGGCGGATTGGTTCGGCGTCTGCAGTGATGCGGACGCTGAGCCGATCTGTCGTGGGGAAGAGGGAGCTGAGCCAGAAAGCCAGGCTCTCGATTTACCGGTCGATCTACGTCCCAATCCTCACCTATGGTCATGAGCTTTGGGTAATGACCGAAAGAACGAGATCGCGGATACAAGCGGCCGAAATGAGTTTCCTCCGTAGGGTGGCCGGGCTCAGCCTTAGAGATAGGGTGAGGAGCTCGGACATTCGGGAGGGACTCGGAGTAGATCCGCTGCTCCTCCGGATCGAAAGGAGCCAGTTGAGGTGGTTTGGGCATCTGGTCAGGATGCCTCCTGGACGCCTCCCCGGGGAGGTGTTTCGGGCATGTCCTGCCGGCAGAAGGCCCCCGGGTCGACCCAGGACACGTTGGAGAGGTTACATCTCCAATCTGGTCCGGGAACGCCTTGGGGTCCTGCCGGAGGAGCTGGTAGACAAGGCCGGGGAGAGGACGGCCTGGAGCTCCCTAGTTGGGATGCTGCCCCCGCGACCCGGATAAGCGGAGGAAGACGACGACGACGATTCATCCCAGCTGCTTCACACTCGGCTGCGAACCGCTCCAGCGAGAGTTGGACTTTTGTAAACTCAACAATTGGTTGAGTTCAGAGTCCAAAAACATTTTTGCAGCTAGAAAAAGCAGTAAACATATAGATACTGGCCATGATGATCAGCCCCAGAACACCAACAGCACATATCAGCATCAGCGACAGAAAAGGCCTGAATTCATCAATGTCCATGTAGCAATTTTCAGCTTCTGTAAATACTTTAGTTATCTGCTCATCCACTTTCCCACTTTCTGGGTACACACTGGTCATGGTCAGGATTACAAAGAATATTAGCTTAAATTATACATGAAAGAATTAAAAACCTCAGAAAAGCTCTACTAAAAACCAGTAGATAATAAAAGTTGGGTTGTTTCATCTAAAGCTGAAGAGTTGGTGATTATTTGAACTCACCTTGGCGTATTTGCACAACGGAACCTGTCTGGGGAGCACGTGGAAGGACAGATTTCATCCGACCCATCACCACAGTCGTTCTGGTTGTCACAAACCCACTGAGATGGGATGCAGCGTCCACTGGAACATGTAAACTCAGACTCCAGACAGGGAGGTGGGGGGGGAGGGCACGTCACACCCTCACAACGCCACAGACCTTCTTCACAAGAGCTGGACAGAAAGATCACGTATCCGTTTCAGCTTTTTGTTTTGGTCAAATTTCTATTAAAGACACATTTAGAGAAACACACCAGTTCTGACAATGTATGGTGAGTGTAGTTCCAGGTGGAAACAAGGAGCCCTCCCACTCACATGGACACTGAGAGGGCAGTATGCAGCCGTCACCTGTGGGACAAAACACCACTAGACTGATATGACTGGAACATTATTCTGAGAAGCCAGCTGGGGCACAAGCTTGTAGGGTGCAGAAGATTGGTGTTAGATGATCCTGCTGTGCCATAATGAATGATTAGGTGTGAGTGTGATCATACAGAAAACATATTACACGCATTTACTCTCTGTGCATTTCAGGCCTAATAAACTACACCCCAATGCTTCGTTTAAAGGGAAAATAGAGGCAATGGGAAAAAACTAATTTAACCAATCCTGACCCGGCTTACTCCTTTAGCTTTAGCTTAGCATAAAAGACAGTAAGTAGATGGATCCAACTAGCATTGGGAGCAAAAATGTCCTTAAATCACTCAGTAGTGATCCCAGCCTGGATCTCTGGGACTTGGAGCTCGCCCCGTCTCCTGCGGATCTTTGGGGGGCGGATCTGTGGTCCCTCACACTCTCTGTTGGACGCTCCTATAGAGAAACCTTAAATAAACAAGCGCGTGTACACACACAGGTGCTCACATGGTGCTCTCAAAAGTATGGGCTTGGGCATGTTAAACACAGGTCTTAAGACTATGGTGGGCACTTAATGCATTGTGATTTATTATCGTGATTCTTCAGTTAAGCAATGTTGATTATATATTTTTTTCATCAAGTTGACGCAGTGACAGCTAGATCTTGTTGTATTGTTGTTGTGTCCCTTTTTTTGTCCTTTTGTTGTTGTTTTTTTGTCTTTTTCTGCAGGTCTAGAAGCAGACTCTTGTTCATTGTTTATTTTTGTGGACCCCCCCCCCCCTCTCTCCCCACCTTTTCCTTTCTCTTTCACCTCTGTCTCCGTGTCTGGTCGGAATTACAAAGCATTTAACAACAATAGCAATAAAGTTTTAAGTATCAGGCGTGACATTAAAAGCAAACGCTTTGATGCTCCACCTGAGAATAAATCTGTAAGGCTTGTCGCCAGCATTCAGACATCAATTCTGCTTGCTTCACAGCCAGACAGGGCACGGTAAAAAAAAAAAAAAAAAAGTAGTGATCCCAGCTCTGCGTGTGACCTAAATAATCAGACTACGCTCCTACCCTCATCTATGGTCACGAGGTTTGGGTAGTGACCAAAAGAACAAGATCACACATCACAGATACAAGAGTCAACATGTGTGGTCTCATTTCATAATATTAAGGACATCGATTTGGCATCCCTTTCTCTCTATAAGGACTCCATTTCTCATGCTAAAGTATTACTCCGGTCTCATCTGTTCGAACACCAGCAATACTAAGACAATATTTTCCATATTTAATAGCGTCTTTCTGCCTCCCCACTCCCTACCTTCCCACCGCTTCTCTTCTGCAACCTGTAACTCTCACCTTCAGTTTTTCAATGAGAAAGTTAATAGTATCCATCAACACCTCGGCCCACCATCTTACCTCCCTTCTCATTCTCTTTCCCTGAATTCTCTCAACTCTCCACGTTTAACTTTCCCAATCCCTCAGTACTTTCCAACTTCATCACTAAGACCAAACCTTCCACCTGTCAGTTAGACCACCTTCCCACAGGTATCTTGCCTTCACTCCCTGCTCCCCCTCATTACAGCCATCATTCTCTCATCACTATCTACTGGAACTGCTCCATCCCACTTTAAATCAGCAGCAGTCAATCCGATCCTGAATCAACCAGGTGCAGATCCCGATGATTTCAATTAAGGTTAAGGTTGGCATTATTAATCCCCGAGGGGGAAACTGGACTGCCATGGACAAGTAAAAACAACAACAAACAAACAAAACAAAAATCGCGTTGACTGGACTCTGCGATAAACCACTACCATGATAAAAACATCACATATAAGATCATCCGAATGCTTGTTGCAAAAACGCACTACAACAGGAATGAAAGAGTTTGTAAAATGTTCAGTGGAACAACGGGGCAGTAATATTCGTCGACTACAACAGTTTCTGAGATCCTTAAAGACATGGTGGAGAGGGTGATCCTCAGAAACAGGACCGCTACTCATCATCCTTTTGCCCACGATCATGTCAAATGAGTCCAAGCTTTCCCAACCACTGATTCTGTTGTTGTCGTCAGCAGTGAGGCTACGCCCCAACACAACACAGCATAAAACAACACACTGGCCATGATCTCCTGACAATACACATTCAAGAGCCTCCTACTTATGCCAAAGGATCTCAGCTTCCTAAGGAACACTATCTGGACTGGGCCTTTTTAACAGCAGTATCACTGTTCCTTTTCAAATTCAAATTCAAATTCAAACTTCAAAAATACTTTATTAATCCCAGAGGGAAATTGATTGCTGTAGTAGCTCAGGATAATAATAATAATCAAGTCGTCAAAGAGTTGTTGTATATTACAATGGCTGTTGGCAGGAAGGATCTCCAGTAGCGGTCAGTGTTGCAGCGAAACTGAAGAAGCCTCTGACTGAAAACACTCTTCCGTTGTCGGACAGTCTTGTGAAGAGAATGCTCAGGGTTGTCCATCATTTTCTTGAATTTCAGTTTTGCAGTTCAACGTATTGTCCCCTAGAAATTTATGTCTCTACAATTTCAATAGGTTGTCCTTTGATGAACACTAAAGAGAATGATTGTATTTTCTTCCTAAAATCAATAATTAGCTCTTGTGTTTTGCCAATATTAAGCTGTAGAAAACTGACATAACATCATCTCACAAAAGAGTTACCGTCCTCCTTATAAGCCAGGTCGTCACCCCGAGAGATCAGGACCGTGTGTGTGTGACACACACATCCGTGTGTGAAAGTCTGGATCGGAGTGTGTGTGTGTGTCCTCAAACGTAGCTGGTAGTGCTACAGTACACTCGTGGCACCAGCTTTCGCAGTGCGAGCCTTCGCGGCGCCAGTCGTCACGACGCTAGCCTTCGCGGTGCTTTGTGGCTGATGTCACAAGAGCGTAGGTTAACAAGGCAGGGTTCCCACTCTTTTCTTGAAATTATTTTCCAGGACTTTTCCAGGACATATTCAAGACTTTTTCAGTGTACAAGTCAAGTTATCATAACTACGGTTTGCCGATATCCCGATATATTTAGAAACAGATATGATATTGTACCTACCTATACCGTTATTTTGACAATATAGTTGTGGAAAGATTTTTGTCTTTCACAATCTCACCTGCTTTCCTCTACTTACAATGCAACACAACTAAAACAGAAGTTATTCTCTACTATACCAGAGATGTGACATTGTGGCATCATCAAGTCATCTCCATGTCATGTTTTTGTTCTGCTCAGCAACTGAACCAGGTTAATTCACTGTGCTGATTGAAATCGTCGTCGTCTTCCTCCGCTTATCCGGGTCCAGGTCGCAGGGGCAGCATCCCAACTAGGGAGCTCCAGACCGTCCTCTCCCCGGCCACCTCCACCAGCTCCTCCGGCAGGACCCCAAGGCGTTCCCGGACCAGATTGGAGATGTAACCTCTCCAACGTGTCCTGGGTCGACCCGGGGGCCTCCTGCCTGCAGGACATGCCCGAAACTCCTCCCCAGGGAGGCGTCCAGGAGGCATCCTGACCAGATGCCCAAACCACCTCAACTGACTCCTTTCGATCCGGAGGAGCAGCGGTTCTACTCCGAGACCCTCCCGAATGTCCGAGCTCCTCACCCTATCTCTAAGGCGGAGTCCGGCCACCCTACGGAGGAAACTCATTTTGGCCACTTGTATCCGCAATCTCGTTCTTTCGTTTATTACCTAAAGCTCATGACCATAGGTGAGGATTGGGACGTAGATTGACTGGTAAATCGAGAGCCTGGCTTTCTGGCTCAGCTCCCTCTTCACCACGACAGATCGGCTCAACGTCCGCATCACTGCAGACGCTGAACCAATCCGCTTGTCGATCTCCCAATCCCTCCTACCCTCACTTGTGAACAAAACCCCGAGATACTTAAACTCCTTCACTTGAGGTAGGACCTCTCTCCCGACCTGGAGTTGGCAAGCCACCCTTTTCCGGTTGAGAACCATGGTCTCAGATTTGGAGGTGCTGATCCTCATCCCAGCCACTTCACACTCGGCCGCGAACCTACCCAGCAAGAGCTCAAGGTCAGAGCTGGATGAAGCTAGGAGGACCACATCATCCGCAAAAAGCAAAGACAAGATTCTCCTGCCACAAAACTCGACACACTCCACACCATGGCTGCGCCTAGAAATTCTGTCCATAAAGGTAATGAACAGAACCGGTGACAAAGGGCAGCCCTGGCGGAGTCCAACCCTCACCGGGAACAGGTCAAACTTACTACCAGCTATGTGGACCTAACTCACGCTCCTCTGGTAAAGGGACTGAATGGTCCTTAACAGAAAGCCACCCACCCCATACTCCTGGAGCGTCCCCCACAGAGAGCCCCTGGGGACACGGTCATAAGCCTTCTCCACATCCACAAAACATATGTGGATTGGTTGGGCAAACTCCCATGTCCCCTCCATCACCCTTGCAAGGATATAGAGCTGGTCCACAGTTCCACGGCCAGGACAAAAACCACATTGCTCCTCCTCAATCTGAGATTCAACTATCGATCAGACCCTCCTCTCCAGTACCTTGGAGTAGACTTTTCCAGGGAGGCTTAGAAGTGTGATCCACCTATAGTTGGAACACACCCTGGGGTCACCCTTCTAAAAGATGGGGACCACCACCCCAGTCTGCCACTCCACAGGAACTGCCCCTGATGACCACGCAATGTTGCGGAGATGTGTCAACCACGACAGCCCTACAACATCCATAGCCTTGAGATACCCAGGACAAATCTCATCCACCCCTGGGGCTCTGCCGCTGTGTAGTTGTTTGACTACCTCAGCAACTTCTGCCCCCGAGATTGGACAGTCCATCTCCAGGTCTCCTGGCTCTGGTTCCTCCTCGGAATGCACGTAGGAGGGATTGAGGAGCTCCTCAAAGTATTCCTTCCACCGTCCGACTATAGCCCCAGTTGATGTCAGCAGCTCCCCATACTCACTGTAAACAGTGTGAGCGAGTTGCTGCCTTCCTCTCCTGAGGCGCCGGACAGTTTGCCAGAACCTCTTTGGAGCCAATCGATAGTCTTTCTCCATGGCCTCACCAAACTCCTCGCAGGCCCGAGATTTTGCCTTGGTAACTGCCACTGCTGCACCCCGCTTGGATATCCGGAACCTGTCTGCTGCCTCCGGAGACCCACAGACCAGCCATGCCTTGTAGGCCTCCTTCTTCAGCCTGACGGCTCCCCGAACCTCTGGTGTCCACCAGCGGGTACGGGGGTTGCCACCATGACTGGCACCGGCCACCTTGCGACCACAGCTAGCAACAGGCGCCTCAACAATCGCAGAGTGGAAAAAGGCCCACTCGGAGTCAATGTCCCCCACTGCTCTCGGGACGCGGTCAAAGCTCTGCCGGAGGTGTGAGTTGAAGACCTCTGAAGTGAGTTGAAGACTGTACACACCACATTACACTTTACTGCTTATTTCACATAGTTGGATGTTAAACTGCTTCTTGCTTCCAGTATTGGTCATTTTAGGTTAGTCCAGTCATCCAGAAACAAGACTCAGGGTAGATATTTGTTTCTGCTGTCGGACGATAGAACTAGTATGAATTACTCAGTGGAGCGCGGGTCCGGTAGACTACCTGCTATCCGTTGCTATCCTGAAGCTCTCATCATGTTCGCTCGTCTCAACTCATGAGTGAAAAAAACAAAAGCTCTCCGCTGCTCCTTTGTCACTCCATCGAGAGAAGGAGAAAAACCTCTCACTCTATAAACTGCGATAAAGCAATACTCGTGAACCGAGTTGCTACTTTTGGCCCTTCTTTGGAGAAATAAATCTAGGGGTGAAAAATCTGTAAATCTAGCAAAAATGACAGTTGGAAAAACAGAAGTGGAACTGGAACTGAAGGGGAATATGCAATCTGATTTAGGGCTGAAACGATTCCTCGAGTACCTCGAATAATTCGAGTACAAAAAATCCTCGAGTCAAATTCTCTGCCTCGAGGATTCGTTTAATTCATATTTAATTAATTCATGGCTTTGCAATCACCCGGGGTCATGTTTCACCCGGACCGAAATAAGTGACGCACATGCCCACTGGGCTGAATGCACACGCGAGTAGCGAATATAACTTAACTTTCTCTTAAGCCATGGCGGACAACTTGAACCCCGGTGGAGTGCGAAAAAGACAGAAAAAGTCAAAGGTGTGGGAGCATTTTTCACGTCGTAAGACGGAAAACGTAGTCCAGTATAAATACTGTAAAATGGATTTAGCCTACCACAACACCACATCCTCGATGCTGCAGCACCTGTAAATGTCTCTTCTGCAAGCGGACTCGGAGCCTCTACAAGATAATGCATTTTAGCCTGTATTTCTATATATTCTGCGGACACTGTGCGACTTTTTCATTTGTAGCACTCAATTTCAGCTCACACCGTACGTCTGGTAGCAACACGTCGGACTTTTTATTGTGTTATTGATGTCTGTTGTCCCTCGGGGTTTCTGCAGGAGGACACGGGTATTTGAGTGTGGCGGAGGAAAACGAAAGAAAGTAAATAAATGTTTTGTGATCAGTATAATTTGACAAAACCACAGCAAACATGCTTTCTCGACAATCCTTGTTAGTGTGAGAAAAAAAAAGTGTAGAAATTAAAACGGACGTGTGTTAATAGGGAAACAGCCGGCGAGCCGTTTGTGCATGCGCCGTGAGCGGTTCTGGTTCTGTTTGGGCCGCAGCCGCTGGCAGCGCTACTTCTACAGTTATCCTCCTAGTTTTTGTCTGGCTTGCAGGCTAGCAGATTCTCGCACGAGGGGAAAATCGGCTCAGGTTGTATATTTTTTGCACAGACATTTGTTTACTGTGAAGTAAAGTTGAAGTGCTCAAGTTTTGCAAACTAATTTTGAATAAAACTTGAAGAATAACTGGCAATTGCTTTCTCATTTTAAGAGGCCTTTCATATTTTATAACATGCTATGTGATATAATGGTTTACAAACACAAAAGGGTAATTTATTAGAGTACTCGATTAATCGAAAAAAATATTCGATAGAGTACTCGATTACAAAAATATTCGATAGCTGCAGCCCTAATCTGATTGGTTGGAAGCGTCATGTGGGGCACTGTGCCAGCTAGATGCAGAAATGAAAGGAGAAGCGCTGCAGCCCAATATTGCCCAAAATGTTTAATCCGTTTGTTTATCCACAAGGAGGGAAAAAATTTTTCCAGGACAACTCAAAAATTTCCAGGACATTTTGCAATTTCCCCCATTTTCCATGTGTTTTCCATGACTGGAAAATTGGACTATCATTTTCCAGGTTTTCCAGGTTTTCCAGGACGCGTGGGAACCCTGCAAGGGTAGTGATTGAAGCGCTCGTCATTCCATGGCACTTTGCAGCGCATCTTTGCGCTTCCGTGTCTGGTGTGTTCCAGACGAAGGTGTCGGATCATAGTCAAACTACGAAGAAACTGCACAGGGGTCCATCTGGAACTGAGACAACTAGCTAATAAATCAAAATGTGTTTCTTTTGCTAGTTTTAAGAATTCTAGCCAAGCAACTTTTGCTTACCTGAAAGCAAGAAACTGGATCATATTTAAGGATTTTCATCATGCTGTTTTTCTAGAGAAGAATTTGTTTTCGTTGTTGACTAACAATATGTAAAAGTACTGTTTTTGCAGTGTGTTCTGGGATGTTTGTTTAAGCTGGTAAAACAAATGTTCTCTATTGATCCAGTTTAGTAGGCAGTTGAATGGCAGCAAGCTCTTTTACCGTGTCTGACTGTGCCAGCGGGGCAGAAACAGCCCTCCACACAGGAAAGCACACCGCACTGAGAGTATGGACTGTGTCCAACACTTGGACACAACAAAGCACAGGCTGGGCCACAGGGGTTGTAAACTAGTCCTTTTTCGCACTGTAGAGCTGCCAGAAAAGTAAAAAGAAGTTAGAAAAAGACTGTCGGACATAAATGTGCAGTAGTGCCTGCCACCGTTTGACCTACGACAGAGCTCCTGGGACCTCCAGCGGATGTAAATTCCTCGTCGGTTGCACTCTTCAGCATAGGCTGCAATAGCTGTGCAGAGACACTCACAGTCCCCACCGGAGTCACACCTAACTCACACACGCACGCACACACACACACACACACACACACACACACACACACACACACACACACACACACTAGTTCAGCTTTCAAAAACACTTCTTGAACACACAAGTTATGAAAAGCGTTGCACTCACCCACAAGCATCAAAGACACACCAGTCATAAAACTGATGGAAGGGCACCTCAGCGTGGCACAGAGAGAAGAGCTCCTGAGTCAGAACAGCACACCTTTTCCTTGCCCACAGCACTCTGTGAGCGTTCAGCTGCGAAGACAAAGTGTACGTTTTCGGTAGCTGTTGAGGCTAACGGAAGCGCACGTGTCTGGATCAAACTCACAGCACAGGGATCTCTCAGGTCCTGGTTTTCCACATCAGGGCAGGAAAGGGTGACCTTCCAAGAATTCCCAAACAGCTCAGGTGTAGATTCTTCTATTCCCTGTCTTGTTGTGAAGTCATTCTCAGAGTTTCCGTCAAAATTACCACACAAGCCTCCAACTCGGCCTCTCAGGTGGGCCACCAAACGCACGTACACACGCATACCTGTTAAATACACATTGAGTTAAAGGGTGTATATAAAGTGATACTAGACTTCTGATCTAGCCTACCTCCATCCCAAAGCACAGTGACTCCAAGTTGGGAAGAAAGGGAGACAAATAGGCCCATTTTTTCCATAGTTAGACCACTGCCACTGTAGGTCTTTGGTAGTGCGACTGGCATTCCATTTACTGTCACTGCTTTACCTAAAGGTCACAGATGTTAACCATCAGCACCTATCCCCCTCATTCAGACTAAATTAAACATCATCTACAACTGTTTATATGCTGGTGAAGGTTCTCAGTCACCCAGGTCATGGTATTCACAAAGGTTTAGACGAAGGCAACTGGATTTTCTTTGGTTTCTTGAAGACGTTCGCTTCTCATCCGAGGAGCTTTGTCACTTCTGACTAGAATATGGGAGGGTCAAGCTAATAAGCTGTAGCTGTCTGTTGTTATTTAATGAGCAGAAACTACTCTGAGTACCCCTCCTCTCCATCCCCTGATGAGTCGTTAGCCTCTACTGTAAGGAAATCGTTGTGTTGATTAGATGCAGGAAGGTGTCCTAGACTGAAACTGCTTAGGAATGAGATTAAAGCTGCATTATAGGTACTGCAGGTGAAATCTAAGCCCCTCCCCTATTTAAAGCAGGTATGCAGTCACTACATTGGACTGCATAAACTTAAAGACAAAAACACCCCTCCCGAGAGGGGGCAGGGGCTTTTCTGGTTGCGGTCTCCCTGGGGTCCCTGTATTCTGGAACAGCTCCTGGATCTCTGGGACTTGGAGCTCCCTCTATCTTCTACACATCTTTGGGGGCAGATCTGTGACCCCTCACACTCTATTGGATGCTCCTATAGAGAAACCTTACATATACAAGCACGTGAACACACACGGGTGCTCATTTGGTGCTCTCATATGTATGGACTAGGGCATTTTCAACACATGTCTTAAGGCTGTGGTTGGCACTAAATGCACTGTGATTTATTATCGTGTGACTGTTCAGTTAAACAATGTTGATTTTATATTTTCTCATCAGGTTGATGCAGTGATAGCTTGCTCTAGTTGTATTGTTGTGTGTCCCTTTTTTGCAGGTCTAGAAGCAGACCCCCTGTTCATCATTGATTGTTTATTACTGTGTCTAATCAGCACAACTCCCTCTCGATAGAGGCCAACGACTCATCAGGGGTAGAGAGAAGGGGTACTCAGAGTAGTTTCTGCTCATGAAGTACCAACAGACAGCTACAGCTTATAAGCTTGACTCCCCATATTCCAGTTAGAAGTGACAAAGCTCCTCGGATGAGAAGCGAAACATCTTCAAGAAACCAAAGAATTCCAGTTGCCTGTGCACTGTGATTTATTATCGTGTGACTGTTCAGTTAAACAATGTTGATTATATATTTCTTCATCAAGTTGACGCAGTGATAGTTTGATCTTGTTGTATTGTTGTTGTGTCCCTTTTTTTTTGTTTGATTTTTTTTGTTGTTTTTTCTTCTCTCTTTCTGCAGGTCTAGAAGCAGACTCTTGTTCATTATTGTTTATTTTTGTGGGACTCCCCCCCCCCCCCCCCCACACACACACACACTTTTGTCTCTTCCTTTCACTTTCACCTTCATTAGAACTGTTTATAAAAGTATGTGCGCACTTTAACTACATGAAGGTTTCAACAGCAGAAACCACCAAAGATTTTCTATGAATTTATAGGGTCCACATTTTAAAGTCTAAAATGACCAGAAGGAAGCTGCCAGCTCACATCCTACAAATAAATCCCAAAATGCATCATTTATCATCAGGAATCAGTTCCTACCTCTCAGCAGGTGTATGACAGTGTTTCCAAGGTTGACAGTGACTGACTTGGTACAGGTGACACCAGTACTCCCACAAGGCACATTCTCAGCTGTAACACTGAACAACCCACTGGTCTCCCTTACCAGCACATACTGGCAGTCACCCAGGAAAGAATAAGTGCGACCGTCAAATGTCACATAATGAGGATCACCGGTTGCAACACATAATCCAGCACAGAGAGACTGGGTGCAATGCCAGCGACGCTCTTTACACACACTGCAGAAAGGAACAGAATCTGCTTAGAAACAATGAAATAATTAAGAAACACAAAGGAAGTCTGTGTATCACCATGTGTTGCAGTCTTTAGTGATGGTTTCATTTCTGTAATAAACTCGACCATTATGGTGACATGGGCACTCGTCTGGAGGAATGCAGCGATCAACCTAGACGTGAAAAGACAAAATGTGCAGTAGTCAGCATGATTAAAAACTGGGAGATGATCCCACTAATGCCAGTAATAACATGGGTCATCAGGCTCTGCAGAAGCCTTTTAATTTGACTAAAAGCAAGTGGATTGGATTTTATTTATTTATTTAACCAGGAAGGTCCCATTGAGATTAAATACTTATTTTCAAGGGAGTCCTCGCCAAGAGACAGCAGAAGTTAGTTACAAACGTTTCAGTTACACAGACATGTCTTGTACTAGATTACAGAAGGCAGTTATGACACAGGAATCCGTCTCAAGGGCTCTCAGTCTGGTTTTAAATGTAGTCAAGGAGATAAACCGGGTTAATTTCTGGTTTTCCTGCAGGCTGTTCCATGCAGAACGAGCGGAGTGAACGAAAGCTCTTTAGCCCAGTTCGGTGCGAGGAAACGGAACACAGAGTAACAGCTGATCGTTTGACGCAAACTTTGAGAATTTCCACTTCTCTGTGAGTGTAATGATTCATGCTCCTCATATTCTGCCTGTCATGTTGGTTGCCCTTTCTGCACTAATCAGAATCATTTAGTTCACCTGAGTTCTTCCTGATTACCTCATGGAGCACACCTGTTCTTTCCTCTATTTAAACCCTCAGTGATCACTGCTTCTATTCCAGATTGTCTGTAGCCTTTTGTCTCAGCATTCCAGCAATTCATTGTTCTGATCTACCAAACCCTGTACTATGTTCACGTCCCTGGATTGTCTCTGCCTAGCCCTTAAAGGTTTTGACTGCTTCTCTGACCTCTGGATCCTGTTCTGAACCACGGCTTCTGATTCTAGTCTGCTCTTCCTGTTAAGTATACCTGCTTCTGCCTCTCTGTTAATGACCTTTGCCTGTTTCTGAACCCTGCCTATGGATTGAGTATTATTCATTGTGGACAAAAACATTTGTCTGTGTCACAGAAGAGACATATTCACAGACAGAAGAGGAGGGAAAGTTTTTCTGTCAAAGGAACATCCTGGGAACTCTCTAACCAAGCCATCGTTCCCCCCGCCTCTGCCTCTGCAACATTTCCCCTCTACTGACCCCTCCAACAGAGCTTAGCTGCAGAAACCCAGCTCATACCCAAATCTTTACTCCTTTAATAAAGTATCTTTTTTTATATATTTAACTCCCGTGTGTGGCTAAATTCCAGGTCTCCAATAAACTCTTTACAGAGAGAGATTAGGTTAATGGTGTATGTGGGTAGTAATCCAAGCATGGCCTCATAAATTAAGGTGTACCAATGTCCCAACCTCCTGGTGGACAAAGAAGGCCATCCCACTGGGGAATACAAATCATCATGATGGGTCAGTGGTCTACAGTTAGTAATAAACCTCAGTGAGGCATGAAAACCACATCAGTCTTACCAAAACACTGTGCTGAGGCATTCATGTACAAAAGGTCTCCACAATCCAGAATAGAGCTCTGGACGTCACGTGACTCTCAGAGAGTAGACGCATCGTTGGCAGGCAACAAAGGTAAACAAAATGAATGGGATTGGCTTGGATTTTACTCCGGAGTTTACTTCACACTTTAAAACTGAAGAAACCATTTTATATAGTTAGAAATTAAATAGACTAAACATCTCTGCCCCTTACCATGCCCCTGGGATACTTTTTAAAACGCCAGAAGCTGTCGGAGCGGACCTCTTACTGGATTTGAGATACCCTGACATTTATAATTTCCTAGTACAAAACAAATAACAGAGATTTACATGCAAGAAGTTAAAATAGAGTGCTGTGCTGTTTGAATGTATAAACTGAACACCAAGAGAAATCACTAGTCTGATTTTTTCCGTGATTAAAATAAATATGTCAGGCAGGAGCGTCTCAGGATCTGTCTGAGATCCGTCTCGGTGAGACAGATAATAGCAATCCAAAGTGTTTTTATGTGTGATCTGACAATTGATCAACCATTGCTAAAAATTTAAATACAGCTTAGGCGGTTAACTGCTGTGATCATAAGACACGTAAACTGCAGCACGCAGAAATCACGAGGCAACGTTTTACGTGATGTTTACTTGTTGTCAATAAGACAGAAAAAGCCACGCCAAAATAAGTTTAGCAAGCCCACTAAGAATCGTAATAAAAGGTCCTGGGTTCAATTCCCGGACGAGCCCCCACGTTATTACGTCCCCGGCTCTCTAGGAGTGATAAGGAAGAGGGAGTAATAAAAGAAGTGTGCGGGTGAAATAATAAAGTGCTGTGTTGATAAAACAGAAGGTTTTATTACAAAAAGGGTGCACAGAAGGGTATTTACAACAACAATATTTATACATATATATGTGTGTGTGTGTATATATATATATATATATATATATATATATATATATATACATACATACATATATATATATATATATATATATATATATATATACATACATACATACACAAAGCTAACAGGACTATATACAAAGGGGAGAATGGAAAACGCCACCCCAGCAGGGGGTGGGGATAAAACAACCGAGAATAATAACAGCCTTCCTGATAGGCAGGAAAGCTCTGGGAGATCCAAAGTCAAAGTCAAATACGTTCCGAAGTCTAGAAGCCAAATTGTCAAATCCTAAATATTCAAAATCCAAAATCCGAAAGAGTGTGTAAACCGAAGACTAGCAAGCGAAACGAGTTTTACCAAAAGCACACGAGGAGAAGACAATAGTACAAACTCAAAGAGTCTACACTACCCTGGACCTTCTCGTTGAATGGGAGAAGAGGCGAGCCTTTTAACTAAGTGACCAGGTGATGACTAATAGAGAACAGCTGCACAGGAAACCGGATGGGGAGGGAGCTGTGGGGGCCATCTAGTGGCGAGCGTATGTAACACATTTAAAATAAATACCATATACAGTTGATGAAACGTTGGTTTAAGTACCTGATATATAGTGGTCGCTGCATAAGCGAAAACCTATACTCTTGGGATCCCACAGCTTCATTTTAGCCTAGAGGCTAGCGCGTTTCATTGCGATGATCCAAAGTTTGCTGCGTTCCGGATCTTGGGTAATCCTGTAGAAGGCTCTTCCCTCATATCGTCTGTTCTGGTATTCTGGGGCACAACAGGAATCTACCATATTTCCCGTTTGAGTTTTCTGACAATAACAAAGAGCCTGGCTGCGGGCTACTGCCTGCCAAGATGGCGCCGTTCGATTTGAACTGTTGCATGCCGGGAGAAGTGACGTCAACTCCTGGAGCTCTATAGACGGTAATGTTGCAGTAACTTGCCGTTTTGTTGCCTCAAAGGAAAATACAGTTTATTTAGAAAAAAGAAACTCAGTCTGAGTTTGAGTTTCTTCACAAGAGTATCTATACGGGGCTTGAAGGAGATGGAGCCATCGAGCCAGATACCAAGGTGTTTGTATGTGTGAACCACCTCCATGATGTTTCCCTAAAGAGTGTTCACTGAGGGCATCCTTAGAGGTCTGTTTTAGAGTTAGAAAACAACATCAGCTTAGTCTTGTCAGCTCTGAGGACCAATTTTAACTGCAGAAGTATTTGTTGGACCTCATTAAAAGCTTTCTGTAAGAATTTAACAGCTTTAGTGGGGTGGTGGGGTGTTCCAAAATAGTAAATTATTGTGTCATCAGTGTAAATGTACAAATTAGCATCCAACACATTTTGTCCTATAGTCATCAATGGCAGTGAATGAGTTAATGACAAAGTCGTCATTTTAAATCCAACCCTTCACTGCCAATGACGACTAAAGTCACCATTTGCATGTTTTTACTGTGTGGACATCGGAACGAGCCCGTGCTCCGTGAGAACAAACATCTCAGCTCCAAAGCCGATCTTCATCCGCATACGTCACACATCACTTGATCAGGAAGCAGAAAATCCATGTGTTCAAAAATTGTTTTGGGCCGCTGCTGTAAAAAAAGTGAGGCGCGAACCGGAAAAGCTTCTGCCGATCACAATTCGACAACAGATTATGAAAGAACGGATAATGCTAGAAACGCATGGATTCTTCCTGATGTAAGAGGTGAGTCTCTGCTTTGTTTTGGTTGTTTTGGTGTCGACATCATTCTAGTGCTCAACGTTCTGTGACTCTTCAAAAAACAGTAAAAACGGTGAGAAACACTAGCAGCGAAGGGCTTTACCAATCAAGAAACACTGGCAGCGAAGGGCTTTACCGATCAGGAAACGGCTGGCAGCTAATGAGTTCATATACATAATGAACAAGAGGGGTCCCAAGACTGAACCCTGTGGTACTCCCTTGTGGACACGCAAAAAATCAGAGGACAGCCCATCACATTTAATGCATTGAGTTCTGTCCTTCAAGTAGTCTGTGAACCAATAACTGAAAACATGTCTTATATTCTATTTTCTTCAAAATAGCCAACCTTTGTTCTGATTACTTCTTTGCACACTCTTGGCATTTTCTCAATGAGCTTCATGAAGTAGTCCTTCAAGACTGTTGGAAACCCATTTCAGTTGACTACCTCTTGAAACTTTGGAAAGTTTAATCTGTTATCTGGTGGAGAATTCCAACTTGATGTCAAAGACTTGGCTCGCTCCTAATGCTGTTGTAATTCCCTTGGAATATTTTATCTGAGTCACAAACGTTTAAAGGAGCATGGGGCAGGATGAAGAAACGAAACTCATTAGCGACGCGCTCGGCGCTGTGAGTAACTGCAGCCCGGCACGAGAGCGCGCACAAACTCTTCACTAGAAAAAAAAAAAGTTACAGTGATGTACGGCCAGAGCGCGGCTCGAACAAGGCACCATGTTGAGCGATGAAGTAAGTAACATAGTTACTTTAGTCTAATATTTGTATAATTCCATGACAACATTAGCATTTTAATTTAGCCATGACACTCGTGATGTAAAGCAATGTCTCCTTCCTATGAAATATTCATAAGCCAGTTTTGTGACTGGCGAGCAAGACAGTAACATGATGCTACTTTATCAGCATAAGGCTTTGTGGCTGCAGGTGATTTCTGATGTTTTTAGACAAATTACAGTTATTATTTTGCACTAAGCTTACTAACAAGCTAATGTTATTGTTTATACATCATGTAAGAACATCCAATTTCAAGTCACTGACATCATTTGTGATACCAATTTCATTACAGGACAGGCATCACAACAATGTAAATAAGAACATAAATATCAATGTTTAGTTCAAAAAATGCATCAAAATAAAATCATAATATCAACAAGACCTACAGGGTAATAGTCATTTTTCCATTACTGTCATTGATTTTCAGGAATTCACATTGGAAGGAGTGATGGAAGACAGTTCAGATGGAGTGTGCCCGAGCCTGCCACAGACTTTGATGTGTCGTGGGAAAGTTTGAGACCAGGGGCTAAAGGAAAGGGGAGAGGAAAAGGTCGCTCCGAGGGTCGGGGAAGGACACGCTCAAGGGGTGAGGGCAGCAGGTTGAGGTCCAGAGCTCCTTCAAGAGGACCAGGGCGCAGGGGTAGGCAGCGAACAGCTTTCAGAGAAGAGGACCGAGACCGGCTTGCACAGCTGAGAGCTGCCAGTATAGCTGAGATGCAGGTTGGTTGTAGCCATTTGTGTAAAAAAACAAAATAAAATAATAGATGCCAAAAACTAAAACATCACTCACTGGAGATATGAATCTAGTCATGTAAACATATGCTCTTTAATTCCTAGACAGCTTTACAACACCTGAGCCAGGAGGAGAGAGATTATATTCTTGAGAGTGGTGACCCGTCTTCCAGGGGTGATGCTGGATATCCTGGAGTTTCAGCAAGAGACGCCAGGACACCATCTTCCTGACTGAGGGCACCCTAACCCAAAAATCCTAACTGTTTATCTACAACTACAGTAGTTCCAAAACAGCACAATACCTCAAAATAACTTTAGCTGAAGACAGCATTTTCACCCAAAAATAAACAAACAGTTTGTGCAATATATTTATTTTTATTTATGTATAAAAACAGTTCTGTTATTTGCATTTGTACATAGTATTTTTTCTTAATTTCTAATAAATCTGTGTGCATGAAAGAAGTCATTCCTGTCTTTTGATGCTTCACGTAGCTGGGGCCTTTATGGAGAGAGAACAGCAGCATTAGATCATACATAGATTACATGAGAATGCAGTTCTGGAAACTCTCCAGTTCTGAAGTTGACCTGTAAAAAAAACAAAAGCTACAACTTTATAGATTATTAGGAATCACACTTTTGATTGCCTTTTCACCCACAATTGTCATTTCTATATGTAAATTGTCAGCTTTGATATTGACACTTTAGCTTTTTTGCTTATGAAAATGTTATTAATATACCTAAAGGTCAGATTGGTGACATCCTTCAACCAGCGTCTGTTGAACATGATTCGTTGAAGAGCCTCGTGTGGTGGAGATCATGGCACCATGAGCTCTTTATCACTGGTCGTTGCATCAAGTGGTCCATGGTCACATTTGCCACGGGTCCATTCATGCTTCCCTGTGACATGGTGAAGCACACCCACCCACATGTCCTAACAGAAAAAATAAGTTTTATTTGAAAACTTTACATGTGACAGAAGCGCTCACCAACAGAAACACGAGAGCTGGCACTATTATGAAAAGAAAGGTAATTATGTCAATGTGCATTGTTGTCTTGTTGTCCAAAAGATGTCACAATACTTACATTAAACATATCACAATGTTGTGCTTTCTGGCAAATGTACCAAAACTGGCTGAAGATGTCCTTCAGCCACACAAGTAGGATGGAAATTCCCTTTAGGATCCCAGCCTGTGAACAAGGATAAAACAACAATTCCATCTTTTAGTTCTTTTTAAAACATAGAAGGGTTTTATTTACCTGCAACGTTTTGTTTGCGGCTGCAAACTTCGTCAGCCTGACAAAGTTTTCATAACAGTTCTATTCTGTTATGAAAACAATAAATAAAAGTAGAATTAATATATTGTTTTAAGACTTCAGAGTTTAAAAAAAACAGTGTAGATAAGAATAGGGCTGGGCAATATGGCCTCAAATCTATATTGCGATATAATCTGAAGCATGTGCAGTAACGATATATATTGCGATATATTTTTTCATCTGTTTATAGATGTCAAATCGACATGCTTTTAGATATCCTCATGTGGCAAATATATGCCACTTGAGGCATATAGGCCTCCTCCTCTGCCCACTCCATGCTTGCAGTCACCGCCATTCTGTTGTCCCATTGTCAGCAGGGTGCACATCTTAGTGACGTCATGTGTTATCACAATATCGCCGTATTGCGATATAGCCAAAAACTATCATTACCCAATTTTATATCATTTCTACCTTATATCGTTTATATTGCCCACCCCTAGATAAGAAGACACTGCAACTCACACACTGTTGAGTAAGTTGTTTGCTTGGTCCTCATCAATCTGGACTGCATCCGTAGCTAGATCCATGGATTTGAAACTACAGACAACACAATAATATTTGTTGTACGTAAAGATAAATACTGGAACTTACCTGAAATGGTACTGATTCTAAAGAGATAAATGTGGAACCTAATACATCTGTCATTAATTATTTCTGCAAATAACAACAATCTGCTGTGAATTGACACTTCACAACATAAATAAATATATATAATGACCTATATTTGCTTATCTATTGTGTTTTTATCTTTTTGGCACAGCAGTAATTTCCTGCGTAAATGGCAAGACTTCTCATGAAAAAATTTACCTTTCTTCAAAAGGATCCAAATCTAGGTCATCAGCACCTCAACACCAGCCATTAGAAAATCTTCCCTGTAAAGATAATGTCAGAAGTGTTTGGTGGCGTGATGTTAGTTCTGAACCAAGTGTGGATATGCAAGGTGTAATTTAATGTATGAAATATCATAGCACAAAAACGTGAATATTTGTTTTACAGAAAAGATACTAACCCCTCAGACACAGGTCCAGTTGGAGATAATCAATGCAACATTTTAGCTGCTGTTCTCCCTGAATTGCAGTTTCAGGAGCCTGCTTCTTCCGGTAGCTGGAAAACACATTTTTAGACAAAAATGTCAACAAGTTGGTTGAGACTCTACACCTTCTGTTTACATAGATCAATAACGGCTAAGCTTCTTTACCTGTGGCACAACTAGTAATATGAAAATGCAGGTCAGTTATAAAAAAATTTATCATTTTCACAAACATATTTTATTCTGACCTACATTCAACTGGACAAATTTAGAAAAATAAACACAAACTTCTGCACAACTTTACTTTTAGTCAAACGTGTTGTTATGGCTGACTTATTATTTATTCTTATGAATCCTAATTTTATTTATTCTCAGCAATAGCGCTAGGGAAATATATTCCGATGGGGTTCTGTTTCACAAACCCCACGAATAACATTATCTACTAATGTAACAGTCCTGCTTAGAGGTTGGACTGTAGATCAAATATGACATAATTCTAAAGACTCATCTTTGGTTTGGAAAATGTCCGTTCTCTTCTGTGGTACATACAAACTGAAACGTGATTGCAGCTAACATGCTACACACGCTAGCTCGCTCCGGCTGAGCGGTGACGTCATATAATCAAATCAAGCTCTGTTTACTTTTCTCGTCAGAATAAACGGAACATCCATTTATCTCCAAACACATGCGGTGTGTCGTCCACAAAACGTAGAAGTGATCCGGTTACTCCTTGGTTGCTTTTAGCTTTTTCAAACTGATCAGGAAGCCATATGCTAAACACCGTTAGCTTAGATAAGTTTCTTGTTCATCTGCACAAAGATTTGTTAGATTACCTAAATCAGCATTATCTAAATCCATAAGTTTTATTTTATTTTCTCAAATTCTGGAGATACAGCTCTGATGTTTACCTACTCGTTACTGAAACCTACAGCAGAAATAAGGAGACAAACACTTACCTGGTCACTAGAAAATGTGCCATGTCCGCATCCTTTTTCAGGCCCAAATCCAGTTGAAGCAGCCTCCATTCTTCCAGAGCGTACCCAATAGATATTCGGGTCCCTGACCGACTTTTATCATATTTTCTTTTTGACTCTCGAGATGCCGCTGATAAAACCTTCTTCTTCTTTGTGCCACTCTTTAGTGGGCTTTGAGTTGCGCTTGGTCGTTTGCTAGTTGTAGAATCCATTTCCAGGGTTCTTCCTCTTCTGTTTGGGGTTTTAACGTGGCTAGTAGTGAAAGACGCGTTACCGCCACCTAGCAAGCTTCCAAATGTTTTTCCGGGTTTGAACCTTGTCGAGAACGCGCTTGAAGCGTCAATTAACGTCATATCTGTAAAACAGCGCGGGAAATTCGGATCAGGAATGTTTTGCATTTTGCAGCACAAAGCCTGCTTAACAAAATGGAATGATAAACTGGTTTCATCATTCTTTTTAGTTTAAAATGCTTCATCACCCATAAGCTTCTCAAGAATGAACATGTACTTTTTGTTTTTGGACAATTCCTGCCCCATGCTCCTTTAACTGTTTTGTAAAGGCATGCATGAGGCATGCTCATGACAGAACTGCATAAAAAGAATACCCTACTTCTAGTCTGGGGCTTTGGCACTCTGAAGGCTGTCTGTATATGTTGATGCTGATTGTTTCAATAAAAGGCCCATGCTGGCTCCGACTCTGTCTTTCTAAAAAACATCTTATCCTCTACACATCCACTTCACAAACAGTCTATGCACCACAGTCTGACTAAAGAAGAGCTGGAAGAGAGAGAGTGGGGACCACAAAGCAGTGGAATCAAAGGTGGGCCCTGGTTTCCTGGCTGGCATGAAATGGAGGGGTTGCCAATTCATCAGCTAGCATATCCAATACCTCACTAGTGGTAAAATAGTTCTTGTGTTTTCCTGCCATTGTGAAAACAAGATGTCAAAAAAACCAGTAAAACTATCTGAAATGCTCCTCTCATCAATAAATGCAAGCGAAAAATAATCAGCATTGCAGGCAGACACACCCTCGATGCGCCATGCGCTCTTCGCTTAAATGCTGTAGTGTGTGCTTTAAACTATTTATCTGTATATAAAATAATACCATATAATATCATACAATGTTGTGATAACTGCAGCTTAAAAGAATGTGTCATCCTTATTCATTTGAAGCCAAAAGAACCAATCCCACCTTAGAGGCTGCAGACAGACAGCTGGACTGTTGTCTAGGAGTCATAAATTACAAGGTGACTCTGTGGACACTCCATTCTCCTACAATAGCATTTTGCTATTATAAGCAGGTTTAGGAATGTGCCTTTACCAAATTAGGACATTTTAGGGATGCTGTTGTAGAGTTACAAGCATTGGACAGATGCCAGAAAGTTAGAACCACTACTGGGCTGCATGGTTCTCCATCGGTGTACCGATGTCTGTATTTAACATGGACTGAATTGTGATAAACCTGTTACCTTTTTTAACTTAAACCTTGTCATCACTGAGTCATACCACTCCAGGATACAGGACCAACTCTGCATGAAAATTAACCACAGCGTCTACAAGCACAGGTAGCCAATACCCTTACGCAGAAGGATATCTCTGGATTCCATTGGATAATTTGCGTCATTCAAAACACTGCTTGAACCTCTGAACCAATAGAATTGCGTGAGATTGTGTTTCATTGTCTAACAGATGAGCCGCGAACAGTATGGGACTTCTCAGGTGGGAGCCATTTATTTAAGTAAAGTGGCATTGCAAACTTCTAACCAGCCTAGAGGTAAGAAAACACAGCAAAAACAGTCAAAAATGAGTTTGTTTTGACGTTTGGAAAATAGATTACACAAATTGAGTGGCATTTTTTGCTGGAACAGGAATTATGATCACAAATCAGCAGAGGTAAGACTGAAAGAAGAGAATCGGGGCTTTATTTTGAGTTCCTGGCTTTCTGGATAGGATCATGTTTTATTGTCGCTACTGCATATTTTCCTCAGGTTTTGCTTGATTTATTTAATTTAGCATTTTTTTTACCTTTGGTAGATTTAGAGGCTTAATGTTGGGTTTCGATGTTGCTGAGGTTCACTGTAATGTTTATATCATTTAGACTAGTTTCTTCTGCTTATGCAGTTTGCATCTATTTAATTATTTGTATTGTGTGTGTGTGTGTGTGTGTGTGTGTGTGTGTGTGTGTGTGTGTGTGTGTGTGTGTGTGTGTGTGTGTGTGTGTGTGTGTGTGTGTGTGTGTGTGTGTGTGTGTGTGTATTTGCATGTGATGGGAATGATGGTGGGAAAAGGGAGATCTAGAAGGGATGGTAGATGTTGATCTGTGGGGGAGGGGTGGGAGATTGACTGTTGTGTGTTTTTTTTAATATTGTACAGTGCTTTGACTTGCATTCGTTGCTTGAAAAGCGCTTCATGATTAAAATTTGATTGGATTTGATATATTCATGAACATCAAGCCTAATTTTGGAACGACTTTGACACCCGGAAGTAATTCCGTACCCGTTATCTGGTCTGTCGGGTTCAAGGGATAAATATTCCCAAAAATCTGTCTTCTTAGTGTACATGTAAATATTTGTTTAGTTTTTTTCTGAACCCTTTTTTATTATACTTGCCTATTCTATATCAAAAGCATAATGTTGAATTTTCATCACAGGTATACCTCAACTATGAAAGACAAAATGAATTTTCACCTACAAGTAAGACAGTTCCTTTAGGGCAGACACAACCAAACAATGGCTCTCTGCAGCTTGATGCTGCAGCTTCTGGAGGCTCTGGGCTGGAACAGGTAAAAAGGCATGAACGTGGGGCGTAGACCAGAGAGTAGGGACATTGTTGCACTTCCTCACAGCGGTCCTGGGTGCAACTAAAACGTCCCTGCTCACACACACTGGGAAGGAAAGGTGAAAGAAAAATATCAATTGTATAGAAACTTTTCAAGGAACGCTTAGGTCTTTCATACAAAATTCAAACATTTTCTCCCTAGAAAAAGTGAGAAGATGTAGAGGTTGAAGCAGACTTCCTCATTGATTTCTCTTGTGTATATGTGGCCTTGACATACTAAATCATCAGCCAACGTTCCAACGTACTTTTGAAGGTACAAAATGTTCCAAAATTAAATTTAATTAATGAAAGTCAGACATTGCTTTTCAACCATGCTTCAACAGTTATTAAAACATAAACTCTTGGAACAGGGCTGGACAATAATGAAGGTACCCCTAACTTAATATTTTGTTACACAACCTTTTTAATTAATTTCATTTCAGTTTATTTATATCGCACAAAATAGAATTCTAAATTTTACTGAATAGAATATTTAATAAGAAAACTTTGTATGTGTGCTTGTTCCCCTGTTATTATATTTGCTCTGTGGTAAAATGTTCTGATAAGTGACCCTAACCCATAAGAAGTATTGGTCCGTGTGGTGGTTTCCTGTATGTGTTTGTTTTTAGGGTTCTGTCTGCCTGGTTATTCTCATGTCCATGAACGTTCTTCTTCATATGTAAACTTTATGCCAACGCTGTTCAGGTGTTTTATTACTGTCTCCGTTTGTCCTTTGGGAATGATTTCTAATATGTTGAATACGTAGCATTTCCATAGATTTATTCAGCAGTCTGGGGGGGGGGGGGGGGGGGGGGGGGCAGTGGCTATGGCTTTCAGTTCCAGATCTTCCTTTCCATGGCGAAACCTTCTAGTTGTTTGTATATGGTTCCATTGTAAGTGAAGTAAGTGGAGTTATCTACCAGTTCTATCAGTCGTGCTATGTCGACTGCTGTAAGGTTTGCGCACAGGACCATGAACAGAGACGATGGAACATACACATTGGATCATACATGGGACTCTGTCATCAGCAAGGAGGATGTGGGCTGTAGAGGGTGACACTGACCTCTGCTGCCCGCAGATGAAAGGAAGTGACGCCACCATAACCGGCCATCTCTGAGGATGGCTAGAGCTAGTAGCCGAAACATTTAAGGTAAACCAATAACTTTTGCTAAACTGTAAGAAAAGAACAAAGAAAATGGATTACGGACACAAACACAGTATGAACACACAAACACATTTTTACTGATGTTCTTAAAATGGATGTGCGTATGGAAGTTGGGTGGGGGTTGGAGGGGTATGTTATGACTGTGCCAATGCTTTTTATTGGTGTGAGAGGGATAGCAATGGTGGTTATGTAGGGTCATTTTATTCTGTAAAGCACTTTGAGTTGCACTTTTTGAAGGAAAAGCACTTTATAAATAAAGTTTGGAGGTAGGGCACGTATGCGAGTGCCCAGTGCCCGGGCTTTTACCCATGTTGCCTGGCCTGGGAAAGCTCGAAGAGGATACGTGTATCCCCCTTCCCATGGGCTCACCACTCGGAGTGGCCAAAGTGGTCTAGTGCAGTGTGTGACGGGTGGTAGTTGAGGGCAGGGACCTTGACAGTCTGATCCTCGGCTACAGAAGCTGGCTCTTGGCATGTGGAATGTTACCTCTCTGGTGGGGAAGAAGCCAGAGTTGGTATGTGAGGTTTTGAGGTTCCGACTAGATAGAGTTGGACACACCTCAATGCATGGGTCTGGCTCTGGAACCAGTTTCCTTGAGAGGGGTTGGACTTTCTACCACTCTGGAGTTGCTCCCACTGAGAAAATTTGTGCAGGGGTGGGCATTCTAGTTGCTCCCATTTTGGTGCCTCCCTCCGCCTACGTGTGGGGGGATGGGTTTTGACTGTGATTTGTGCTTATGCTCCAAACTACAGTTCAGACTACCCACCCTTTTTGGAGACCTTGGAGGGGGTGCTGGAGAGCGCTCCTTCTGGTGACTCCCTCGTTCTGCTGGGGGACTTTAATGCTCATGTGGGGAACAACAGTGAAACCTGGAGAATTATGGTTGGGAGGAACGGCCCCCTGATCTGAATTTGAGCAGTGCTTTGTTATTGGACTTAAGTGCTATTCATGGATTGTCCATAATGAACACCATGTCAGACATAAAGGTGTCCATATGAGTCTTGGCACCAGGATACCGTAGGCCGCAGATCGATGATCGACTTCTTTGTCATTTCGTCTGATTTGCGGCAACATGTCTTGGACACTCGGGTGAAGAGAGGGGTGGAGCTGTCAATTGACTCACGTGGTGGTGATTTATCACTGATGGTGGGGGAGGATGCCAATCAGACCTGGCAGGCCCCAATGTATTATAAGAGTCTGCTGTGAACATCTGGCAGGACAGACACATACAACACGCTTTAAAGACCTGCGGATACCCGACATGGGCAATAAACAAAGGAAAACAACAAACAACAACAGAAAGAAAAGAACAAACAAAGCAAAGAACCAGAAACCCAGAAAGACAAGAACCAAAACCAGTGGTAACCTTACCATACATCAAAGGCATAACAGAAAAAATAAGAGCAACAATGAAAAACACAACATAAACACACCAACAAAACCATACACAACAGTTAGAAACAGACTAGTGCACCCAAAAGACAAGATACCAGCTGGACTTAAATGTGGAGTCGTTTACGAAATCCCATGCAAACTCTGCAATAAAACATACATAGGAGAGACTGGACGCCAACTCAACACACGAACAATAGAACATAGAAAGGAGTGTGAGAAAGAAACAAGTCGAAAACACACGAGAGCAGCAAAAGAAGAAGCAGAAAGCACAATAAAGAAGTCAGCCGTAACAGATCACTGCACAAGAGAAAACCATTTAATGGACTGGGACAACACAAGGATCGTAAACACCGAACAACATAAATACAAAAGACGGATAAAAGAAGCTATAGAGATAAGGAGACGTGGAGGTGGAACCATGAACAGAGACGATGAAGTTTACTCATTGGATCGCACATGGGACTGCATCATCGGAGAGGGGAGATCGGGCAGCAGAGGGTGACAACATTCTCTGCTTCCCGCGGATAAACGGAGTAGGAAGTGACGCCACCATCAGCGTCAGCTCTGAGGATGTTTTGCAGTCGGCAAACGAAACGTACATCAGCAAGGTAAAGAAAAACCTTTCCTGTGTTTTAAAAAGAACCAAAAATGGAATCAGAGGGCTTCTTCTTAAACGTTACCTTTAGACTTTGGTCTCCTGTTGCTGGTAATCCGTGAGAGTTTACAGCATACACAGCGTCTTCCCGGCTCTAGCCATGGCTAACTAGTAGCTTGTGACGCCCATCTCCACCACGCCAGCCGTGAGCCACGATTAGCTGGTGGATAAGTCAACATTGTTTACTTGATCTCCAGCGTGTCCCCGGCTCACCAACACTCCTTCAACAGCCGTGGTTAACGATCAGCCAGTGATCGCTCCATATACATATAAGCTGGTAGTGGCAGCCAGTTTGTTTACATTGAAGCGCCGTAAACCACATGAAACGGGTGTTGTGGGAAATTATGTTCCCCCGAAATATTCTGTTTCCCTTAGGCAGTCGAGCAAATATTTCCAAACCCACATATTGTCCATTATGAGGACTGAACTATCTCAAATGAAAGATGGTTAAACTGAGTGAGATTACATCGTTTTACATAACTTTCAAAAAGGAGAACTAAGCTTGCTGCAAAAGAGTGAACAAGAATGTTTTTACTGTATCTTTTTTATTGTTTTAGGAGGAGATATAGAAAAAAAATCACAAACATAACATTACTGCATTACATTAAATAATTTTCCCGTAAAAGTTGATCGCAAATGTTGTGAAAATATCCAGAAGTGTGATCTCCCGACACGGGGGGACAGAATATCTCAGGGGAACACAATTTCTCACAACACCTGACCTCCCGGCTGACATCACCTCTCCTACGTGTGTGAATCGTAACAGCTTCAAGAACAGAACTAGTAGTTTTATAAAACAGTCAATTATAAATGCTTTTTTAAAGAGGTCGAGTAGCTTGTTTTAAGCTTTGTGTGGGTTAGGCAAGACAGGTTGGAAATTGATCATACAGTCAAACTCATGAGTGACCTACTATAGCCGCAATACTTTCACTGAACTGCATGGCGCTGAAGAGTCACATTTTTTCATCATGATTTCAATGGATTTCAAACATGGGGCCTTTAAACTAAATATTTTAGCAGCATTGAATGACCCTTTTTCAAGATCAGACCACTACTTTTTGTTATACAGTAACTTGCAAGGCTGCATCAGACACAAACCACTCACACAGAGCCGCCAGCAGTCACCCAGGGAGTATTTTATGATCGGTAGTAAAAATTCAAAGGACAGCTAGAACTTTTTGATGGTCCAGAAGTAAATTCCATCCGGCAATCTGGCTGAAACAACTTTGGTGAGCAACCGGATCGCCAAGAACCATCGCAATACTGGTACCGCAGCTCTACACACACTGGCGTTGGTGGTTTATTATTAATTTGATAACTAATTAAACCTCATTACAATCAGTCAGATTATTTTATAAACCTAGACATCACATTCTTTTCTAAGACAACTAATTAGACTTTTAATACTATTTTAGATCATGTTTTAATGAAGTTTGACTACTGTCTTGTTATAAATAATCGTTTATAATAATTTATCCTGTATGACCATTAGTCATAAAAATATAGTAAAACATAGATTTTATAATCTATATTTTTGCATCTGTGTAAAATTATTGATGAGTGTTGGTTCCTTGGCACACCCATATTACCTATATACCAAGTCAATCAGATATTAAAGGTTCAATGATATTGATAATCCAAATTTTTTAAAGAATATTACATTTTTATAAATATCTTTATAATTTATTGACAAGTAATTACAAGTAACCACTTACAAAATGTTACAACTAGGAAGGACTGTGTCTCCGTAAGTAAGGCGCCTGGCCTAGCAAGTCAATGTCTTGCTAGGCCAGGCGCCTTGATATTGAGAAATACCCACTATTTCTAGTCTTTTCTAGGGTTACCATCATTAATGTCCAGGCCTGTTTCATGACTTTATCTTTGTTTAATAATACTGTTGAAACATGGTTAAAAAGAAAAGACTGACTTTCATTGGTTACATTTAAAAGACATTTTTATTTATTATTACTTTTGTCAGATTCAAGTTATTTCTGTGACCATTATAGGTTTTTTATTCAATTAAATTCCTTCAATTTATAAAGCACCAAATCACGAAAAGTGTCATCTAAAGGCACTTTACAAAATAAAACATTTTAACTGAGTAGCTATGGGATGAAGAAACACTCCCATTCACTAGTAGCTATGTGATGAAGACATGTTCCCTTTCACTAGAAGCTATGTGATGAAGACATTCTCCCATTCACTAGCAGCTATGTGATAAAGACATGATTCCTTTCACTAGAAGCTATGTGATGAAAAACCGCTCCAATTCAATAGTAGCTATGTGATGAAGACATTCTCCCATTCTCTAGTAGCTATGTGATGAAAACATGCTTGCTTTCACTAGTAGCTATGTGATGAACACATGTTCCCATTCACTAGTAGCTGTGTGATGAACACATGTTCCCATTCACTAGTAGCTATGTGATGAACACATGTTCCCTTTCACTAGTAGCTATGTGATGAACACATGTTCCCTTTCACTAGTAGCTATGTGATGAACACATGTTCCCTTTCACTAGTAGCTATGTGATGAACACATGTTCCCTTTCACTAGTAGCTGTGTGATGAAGAACCGCTCCGTTTCACTAGTAGCTATGTGATGAAAACAGGCTTGCTTTCACTAGTAGCTATGTGATGAAGAAACACTCCCTTTAACTAGCTTCCTTTCACTAGTAGCTATGTGATGAACACATGTTCACTTTCACTAGTAGCTATGTGATGAACACATGTTCCCTTTCACTAGTAGCTATGTGATGAACACATGTTCCCTTTCACTAGTAGCTATGTGATGAAGAAACACTCCCTTTAACTAGCTTCCTTTCACTAGTAGCTATGTGATGAACACATGTTCCCTTTCACTAGTAGCTATGTGATGAACACATGTTCCCTTTCACTAGTAGCTATGTGATGAACACATGTTCCCTTTCACTAGTAGCTATGTGATGAACACATGTTCCCTTTCACTAGTAGCTATGTGATGAACACATGTTCCCTTTCACTAGTAGCTGTGTGATGAACACATGCTCCCTTTCACTAGTAGCTATGTGATGAACACATGTTCCCTTTCACTAGTAGCTGTGTGATGAAGAACCACTCTGTTTCACTAGTAGCTATGTGATGAAGACATTCTCCCATTCACTAGCAGCTATGTGATGAAGACATGATTCCTTTCACTAGTAGCTATGTGATAAAGACATGCTCCCTTTCACTAGAAGCTATGTGATGAAAAACCGCTCCAATTCAATAGTAGCTATGTGATGAAGAACCGTTCCCTTTCACCAGTAGCTATGTGATGAAGACATTCTCCCATTCACTAGTAGCTATGTGATGAAGACATTCTCCCATTCACCAGTAGCTATGTGATGAAGAACCGTTCCCTTTCACCAGTAGCTATGTGATGAAGACATTCTCCCATTCACTAGTAGCTATGTGATGAACACATGTTCCCTTTCACTAGTAGCTGTGTGATGAACACAGGCTCCCTTTCACTAGTAGCTATGTGATGAACACATGTTCCCTTTCACTAGTAGCTGTGTGATGAAGAACCGCTCCGTTTCACTAGTAGCTATGTGATGAAAACAGGCTTGCTTTCACTAGTAGCTATGTGATGAAGAAACACTCCCTTTAACTAGCTTCCTTTCACTAGTAGCTATGTGATGAACACATGTTCACTTTCACTAGTAGCTATGTGATGAAGACCTGTCCCATTTTACTAGTAGTTATGTGATGAAGACACGCTTCCTTTTTCTCTAGTAGCTATAAGAGTAAGGCATGCTTCCTTTCACTAGTAGCTATGTGATGAAGACATGTTCCCTTTCACTAGTAGCTATGTGATGAAGACATGTTCCCTTTCACTAGTAGCTATGTGATGAAGGCATGTCCTCTTTCACTAGTAGCTATGTGATGAAGACATGTTCCCTTTCACTAGTAGCTATGTGATGAAGACATGTTCCCTTTCACTAGTAGCTATGTGATGAAGGCATGTCCTCTTTCACTAGTAGCTATGTGATGAAGACATGTTCCCTTTCACTAGTAGCTATGTGATGAAGACATGTTCCCTTTCACTAGTAGCTATGTGATGAAGGCATGTCCTCTTTCACTAGTAGCTATGTGATGAAGACATGTTCCCTTTCACTAGTAGCTATGTGATGAAGGCATGTCCTCTTTCACTAGTAGCTATGTGATGAAGCCATGTTCCCTTTCACTAGTAGCTATGTGATGAAGACATGTTCACTTTCACTAGTAGCTATGTGATGAAGGCATGTCCTCTTTCACTAGTAGCTATGTGATGAAGACATGTTCCCTTTCACTAGTAGCTATGTGATGAAGGCATGTCCTCTTTCACTAGTAGCTATGTGATGAAGCCATGTTCCCTTTCACTAGTAGCTATGTGAGAAGACATGTTCCCTTTCACTGGTAGCTATGTGATGAAGACATGTCCTCTTTCACTAGTAGCTATGTGATGAAGACATGTTCCCTTTCACTAGTAGCTATGTGATGAAGGCATGTCCTCTTTCACTAGTAGCTATGTGATGAAGACATGTTCCCTTTCACTAGTAGCTATGTGATGAAGACATGTTCACTTTCACTAGTAGCTATGTGATGAAGGCATGTCCTCTTTCACTAGTAGCTATGTGATGAAGACATGTTCCCTTTCACTAGTAGCTATGTGATGAAGGCATGTCCTCTTTCACTAGTAGCTATGTGATGAAGCCATGTTCCCTTTCACTAGTAGCTATGTGAGAAGACATGTTCCCTTTCACTGGTAGCTATGTGATGAAGACATGTTCACTTTCACTAGTAGCTATGTGATGAAGACATATTCTCTTTCACTAGTAGCTATGTGATGAAGACATATTCTCTTTCACTAGTAGCTATGTGATGAAGCAATGCAATGAAACCAGCCTAAGCTGACTAAGAGAGCAGGAACATAGCATCATTTCTTTGGAGCTCAATCACCACAGTGGATCTTCATTAGATGGCATGAAAACACAAGAAATATGCTGTTTTATCTTGCTTCTCTTCTGGGTTTTATAACGTGAGATTGCATTGTTCTATTTCTAATTAGCTTTTCTCTTTTATGAAGATAGTACTTGGATTCTTTTGTCCTTTTGTGTAAACACACAGGTTAAAAATGGATTGGTTTATCCAACATACCACTTGTTGCAGTTGCTTTGAACTGTATCTCCAGGATAGTACATCTCATCTCCTTGTACACAAGGGCACAAAGACTTAGGCACGCATTGACCTTGGTGGTCCTGCAAAAGTCCTGCTTTGCATTGGCAGCCTGGAACACAAGAAGTTTTACCATCCATCCCACCAGCATCATCACAACTCCAGCCTTGTTGCAGCTCTGAGCAAAATCCCCCACAAGTATGTCCACACTCCTGGTACACCTGACCTCCAGAGCATTGAACAGCTGGACACAGGAAGGAGCAGTAGTAGAAACAATTTATGCATTAGTTAGTGACATGTTTGTTTCATTATAAACATTAGCATCTTTATTGCATATAGTTAATATATCAGAAAAATAATGAATGAGATTGGCTTACAGCAGAATGTTTGATTGCGCCAGTGGAGCATGATACCCTCCTGAGCACAGTGCCAAGCATAGGCAGTGAGTATGGTGCAATGACAGGACAGCTTTGGAGCACATCCACAGGCTTCTGACAGACAGAGATGGAAATATGGCTCCCTCTCCACCACATCATGACATGCCTATAGGATGGAGGTCCCAGTGAGAACAACAATTAGATTGGACCTGAAGTCACTCCCAGCTAAAGTTCAGATCTCTAGGAATAGGGAACAGTTATGCTTTAGGTAGGTAGATTATCTGCCCTTGTTCCGGTGGAGTAAATATAAAGTAATTAATCACACGTATATCCTAAACTTAGATGTAGTCATGCTTATATTCATTTAAAGTGATTCTCATATGATGGGCTTTTGGATGTATTTCCAGCTACATATGATCCATGCATGCTTATATGAGTTTCAAGATTCTGATGAGGTACAAAGTGTGACGGTGGTCAGTGCAGGCTCAAGCTAGATAAGACCAGAATCAGGTGGGCTCAAGGTTGACTCCAAATGTGGGTCTGTAAGGTAAGCTAGCAAAAGATTGTTGGATGCCAGGGAAACTGTGAGAGAGCAAGGTTTGATGGCCTTCAGGGTCGTGGGCAAGTCAGATCTGACTTCGCAGGAGAGAGAGAATAAAATCTTGTCAGATTCTCTACGGAACGGGGAGGTGAGGAGAATCTTCCTAACGTATACGAGCCTGAATAAATGGTTGAGATGATTGAAACTTAAAAGGCAAGGTTGTCTCTCTCTCCTTATTTGTGCAGAGAATTCTAAGACCTAGGGAAGGTGGATGACAGCTAATATTAGCAATAATTACTTAAAACTCTTCTCAATGTTCGTTCTGTGTATTTATCCATAATCATTTTCTTATTTCTTATTTAACACAGAGCAGTAATTTGATGTTTTTTACCTTTGGCTGACATGTTTCAGCTGAAACTTCTGCCTACGTCAGAGCCGCCAACTGTTCATGGCACCACTTCCGTTTATGTGCGGGCAGCTGAGGACGATGTCGCACCCTGCTACCTACATCCTTCATGCTGAAAACACCGTCCCATGTGTGATCCAACATTGGCCGTGTTCGAGATGAGCCAGTTCTGCGCAGATTAGATCATGGTGATCGGCACACAGGGCTTGCCGGTTAGATTTGTGTCCGACTTGACGCCGACTTGCTCTGACGTCATACCTACGTAGATCTAGGGCATGACGGGAAACGCCTGGCTTCACCTGATCTAAGTTCTGATTGGTTCACATTTTGATCCAAACATCCAGTGGTTGAATGCAAAATGTTAGTTGGTCACAAGTATTTTTTAAATCATGTAACGTTGATGATGACAACAATATAGGCCATAAAGAGAAATGTGTTTTGTGTTCTTTTGCCACGTTTCCTATGAGCACACTAAACCTACAGCTGATAACCTTTACTTATTACAGTCAGGTCTCCATATACAGTATATGATATCCACAAGCACGTGGGGATGTGTTTTGGTTGCTGACAGGCACCACAATTAAAATAAATAATTAAACAAGTATGAACTCTAACGCGATATCTTCATCCATCATCACCCGCGAGCTTCACATGTAGGGAAATCTATCCGACTTAAACGCCGGCTTTCAGCCACTCCCCCTGCTGCGTACGTCTGCTCTCGTCTGCTTTCCAGGTGAGGCGCTGCTCAACTCGAACAAGGCCATTGTCTCTGTTCATGGTGTTGTGTCTGCTCCTCCTAACCTCTATCGCTTCCTTAATCTATCTTCGAAGGCAGAAGTTTCAGCAAAAGCATGTCAGCCCAAGGTAAAAAAACAGCATCAGAATGAAAAAACAAAACAGTTATCAGCATGAAGGATGCATCAGTCACATAAACGGAAGTGACGCCACAAACAGCTGGAAGCTCTGAAGGCAGAAGTTTCAGCTGAAACATGTCAGCCAAAGGGAGAAAACATCCAATTACTGCTCCAGGGTTTTCCCCAGCGGTTTATAAGCCTGTCCGCCAGGCTAAGCGTCATGCTCCGCCCCACTCCCCGATCCTACCGTGTCCGCTGACACGAACGGCGCAACAGATCTAGAGCCCTCTATCAGCTGATGCTGGCGAGAAACAGCAGTGGAACGTGTGCAACCCCCACCCCCACCTCTGCTCTCACTGAGGAGCGCTGCGGGACGGAGCAGCACCTGTAGCCTGGCTACTATCAAACCCGGAGTATATGTCATTGGTAAGTTTCACCAAAGCAGTAGTAGTAGAAAAATGCTTTCTGAACCCTGATTAATATGGAGACAATAAGTTAAAAGTTATTGCCTTCAATAAAGCCAGACATCTGCTTCAATATTATCTTTTCAAATATTTTTACAACATTAGTTATTGAAATTGGTCTACAATTGTTCGGCTCACACGAATCTCCACCCTTAAATAACGGATAAATCTTAGTGCATTTCCACTCCGTCGGGACTAAACAGGTATTAAGTGAAAGATTAAAAAGAATTGAGAGAGGGAATGCCAGAACATCAGAAGCTAATTTAATTAACCTAGATTCAATCAGGACCTGTAAAAGTAGAGGAAGAAATTGAATTAAAGCTGCAAGCAGCGTCGTTCGGCCCTCGCAGCTCCGCGCCGCTTCGGCCTGGCCGGTAGCCCGGGGCACCAGGCTACGTCTGCAAAACAGAAACGTCGACCACCCTGACACCAGAAACTGCTAACGGTCACCTCGTCCGCACCTCACCCTGACTCAGCATCCGCCTTGAGCCCACCATTATATTTTATGTCTCACCACTAGGGAATCCTCTATCTTTACCACACTGGTGGTGTGATGACAGTGACCAACTTTAATGCTATTCTGACCATGTTTTTTAAAGTTATCGAAGGATAACGTTATCATGGTTGCCCTGTGACCAACTACAGAAAAGTCCCATTGAGGTCAGCGTTGGTGACATTATATAACATTCACCAACCGTTTGTGCCTCCTTGGCTAAAGGGCATGATTGTTCATCACCATGTACAATTTCGGGCAAATCGGAGGCCGTTTGTGGAAGTTACAGTCAAATGTAAGGTCATGGCGTCACGCCAGCATTCACCATAGCATCAAAGCCCCTCCCTTTCTGGAACGCTATCAGATCTGAATGGTCATTACAACATCATGAAGACAGTGTATGACCTTAGTGTCATGTTCACTAAATTAGAGGGGACAAATATGGGCATTTCACCATAAAACAATAGACTTCCTGTTGTCAGGGGGCGGGGCTTAGTGATGTCAGCTGTCCACATTGTCGTTGTCTTGAGATGTGGTCAGTGATCACACAGACAAAGTTTGAAATAGATCTGATCATGCACTTGGGAGTTATGAAGTCATGTAATGTAATGGCGAAAGGTTAAAGTTTGATGCTTAGCCACGCCCACACCTTTCAACTTTTGAAAAATCTGACGGTTGAATTTTTTCCTCTATGTCTCAAGAGTATATAGCAGAAGTTTGAAGGAGATTGGTGAAAAGGACGATGGAGCATCACTCTCCAAACAACGTGTGCGAAAACCACTAAATCGAGTACTTGGACCAAAATGGCCGACTTCCTGTGTGACTTTGAGCTTGGCTCCAAGAGACTTTTTTGTAGGTCCTGAGACACCACATTAGTGTACCAAATTTCGTAATCCTCAGTCAAAACATGGCTTGGGGCTGACAGTTTTAATGGCTCTAGGGGGCGCTATTTAAGAAAATAGGCCACGCCCACAGATTTCAACTGTCTATTTCTCTTGGGGGTCAGACTAGGATCACTCACCAGAAGTTTAGTAGCAATATCACGATAACTGAAGAAATGAGAGGCAAACGTATTTCCATGGTGTGATGGCGATTTTCGCCATGCTCCCAAAGCCCCGCCTTTTTTCAAAACCTGCCAGTACTGGATACCAAGTGATCTCATGTTGTCTACTGCTATTTGCCAGATATTCCTGGTTATTGGGTAAAAGGAGTCCAATAGGGAGCTGTGAAAATAAGAGTGGCGTGGCGAAAGGTCAAGGTTTGAGGCTTAGCCACGCCCACACCTTTCAACTTTTGAAAAATCCGACGGTTGAATTTTTTCCCCTACGTCTGAAGAGGATATAGCACAAGTTTGAAGGCGATTGGTGAAAAGGGCGATGGAGCATCACTCTCCAAACAACGTGTGCGAAAACCACTAAATCGTGTACTTGGACCAAAATGGCCGACTTCCTGTGCTACTTTGCACTTGGCTCCAAGAGACTTTTTTGTAGGTCCTGAGACACCACATTAGTGTACCAAATTTCGTAATCCTTAGTCAAAGCGTGGCTTGGGGCTGACAGTTTTAATTGTCCTAGGGGGCGCTATTTCAAAAAATAGGCCACGCCCACCGGATGTTCGCATTAGATATTTTGGGGGGCCGGACTAGGATCACTCACAAGAAGTTTTGTGACAATATCTTTAGAAATGACGAAATGGGAGGCAAACGTAAGGCCATGGCGGTACGCCTGACTTCGCCGCGCCGCCGCAGCCCCGCCCTCTGGCGAAAACTCCCATAAAGTGACGCCAAGCAACCCCCACTTGTCTTGAGTTACCAGCTACAAATATGTGGTGATTGAGTGAAATGGGGCAATTTGGAACCTTTCACAGTAAAACTTGACCTTTTTGGTCCTGAGGGGCGGGGCTTGTGTGATGTCATCATCCGACAATTCAATTTACTTTGTGGGTGGATGACGAATGACCACAGAAAGTTTGGTAACTATATTCCATTCAGTTATGAAGTTATAGCAATTTAAATTTTTTTGGCGAGTAGTCAAATTTCGAGGCCTAGCCCCGCCCCTTCAACATATACGAAAACTCGGAATCCTTGTCCCATTTTGTTCGCCCATCCTTTCTGATCAATTTTACACAATTTTTGAGACGATCGTGCGAAAAATGATCGAGCAATCCAATCAGAAACGGACCCTAAAAACGGCAAAAACGGCCAAAAATCGCCATTTCAACCCAAAATGGCCGACTTCCTGTTTGATATTGACCATGCTTGCAAGAGACTTTTCTGTGCGGACTGTGGAGTACTACAGGTGTACCAAATTTCATAACTGTACAATAAACTAAGCTTTATTGAGAGGGTTTTTTTTTCACATTCTAGGGGGCGCTGTTCAGCCATTTTCTTTGCGATTTTTTTGAGACCTTTAAAATATCAAATTTTTCACCAGGCCTGACAAGTGTGCAAAATATTGTGAGTTTTGGGGTATGTTAAGGTCCCCAAAAAGCCGTTCAAAGCGGCACCGGTAATAATAAATAAAAAAGAATAAACAGAGCAAAAAAAAAAACAAGAGGCCTTCGCAGCGATTTCGCTGCTCGGGCCTAATTAAAGCTGCAAGCAGCGTCGTTCGGCCCTCGCAGCTCCGCGCCGCTCCGGCCTGGCCGGCAGCTCGGGGCACCAGGGCACGTCCGCAGAACACAAACGTCGACCACCCCGACACCAGAAACTGCTAACGGCCACCTTGTCCGCACCTCACCCTGACTCAGCATCCCCTTTGAGCCCACCATTATATTTTAAGTCTCACCACTAGGGAATCCTCTATCTTTACCACACTGGTGGTGTGATGACAGTGACCAACTTTAATGCTATTCTGACCATGTTTTTTAAAGTTATCGAAGGATAACGTTATCTAGGGGGCGCTGTGACCAACTACAGAAAAGTCCCATTGAGTCCCGTTCGTGATTGGTGAAAAGGGCGACGGAGCATCACTCTCCAAACAACGTGTGCGAAAACCACTAAATCGCGTACTTGGACCAAAATGGCCGACTTCTTGTGCGACTTTGCACTAGGCTCCAAGAGACTTTTTTGTAGGTCCTGAGACACCACATTAGCGTACCAAATTTCGTAATCCTCAGTGAAAGCATGGCTTGGGGCTATTAGTTTAAATGGTCCTAGGGGGCGCTATTTCAGAAATTAGGCCACGCCCACATATTTCAGCTGTCTATGTCTCTTGAGGGTCAGACTAGGATCACTCACCAGAAGTTCCGTAGCGATATCACGATAACTGAAGAAATGAGAGGCAAACGTATTTCCATGGCGTGATGGCGATTTTCGCCATGCTCCCAAAGCCCCGCCTTTTTTCAAAACCTGCCAGTACTGGAGACCAAGTAACCTCAAGTTGTCTACTGCTGTTTGCCACAGAATCCTGGTGATTGGGTAAAAGGAGTCCAGTAGGGAGCTGTGAAAATAAGAATGGCGTGGCAAAAGGTCAAAGTTTGAGGCTTAGCCACGCCCACAGCTTTCAACTTTTGAAAAATCCGACGGTTGAATTTTTTCCCCTATGACTTAAGAGTACATAGCAGAAGTTTGAAGGCGATTGGTGAAAAGGGCGACGGAGCATCACTCTCCAAACAACGTGTGCGAAAACCACTAAATCGAGTACTTGGACCAAAATGGCCGACTTCCTGTGCGACTTTGCACAGGCTCCAAGAGACTTTTTTGTAGGTCCTGAGACACCACATTAGCGTACCAAATTTCGTAATCCTCAGTGAAAGCATGGCTTGGGGCTATTAGTTTAAATGGTCCTAGGGGGCGCTATTTCAGAAGTTAGGCCACGCCCACATATTTCAGCTGTCTATGTCTCTTGAGGGTCAGACTAGGATCACTCACCAGAAGTTGCGTAGTGATATCACGATAACTGAAGAAATGAGAGGCAAACGTATTTCCATGGCGTGATGGCGATTTTCGCCATGCTCCCAAAGCCCCGCCTTTTTTCAAAACCTGCCAGTACTGGAG